CAGTTAATTTTAGTTATTTCAAAGTGCCAAAACCAGTTGCATGTGTTTTAAGAAATATTCGAATTTTGATGCAAAAAATTTTCAAAATTCAATTAAAAATGAAAACAAGTAGTTAATGAGAAATGAAAACTGCTAAACGCGTTCAAAGTAATTGGAAATTTCAATTGCTTAAATTATTGTTTACTGAAGAAGTGAAGCCATATAAGTATTGATTTGTGTGATAGTTTGAAAACGTTTTTGCTTTGCTAAAAAAGGCTTGCGGATAACTGATTTAAAACAAAGACTTCAGCTTCGGATTCATTAGTGCAAATAAATATTTTATACAAAGTGTACTCGAACATACCTACATATGTTTAAATTTACATATACATAAGCACTTGTATAAAGTTATTGCTTTTCAATCATACCCTTCCAACTCCAGTGCCCGAGCGCGCCTCTGCACTAAAGTACATAGACTTTGTTCACACAAGGGTCATCTTTATCAGTCCGAAGAAATTCATACATAAGTATAAGTGTGATTGACTTGTTTTTTCCTAACCGGTTTCCACCGTTCATTTTTTCTTTATATTTAGGCGTTGGTTTCTTTAAATTTGATTTTGCGAATATCCAATAAACCGGTTTTTTTATCGAACAAACCGTTTGATCTCTCAATAAAAGCTTCGAGTTTTTCGAAGTTTTTAATAATTTTTTCAGTTTACGGGAAACCCCTAAATAATTCTAAAATTATATGCTATGTTATTTGGATATGAATAGTAGGTATCTGGAGTTTAGGTTTAACGTGGGAACCTACCACATTACATGTGGGTCAAGGCTCCATGAAGCTCAAAAGCTTAACGAACTCATTCATGCCTTAATCATTGCCCTGAAATGCAAGCATTTCAGTTCCAAAGGCAAAGTGGGCGGACACACTTACCACTTTGGTAAAGCCGAAACCTACCTAAAATCTCTGCCGTTCTTTAGGTCCCGGCACCCGGTTGTAATGCAACTGCACATTGAACCCTTGCGACTTCTACCCGCACTTAGGTATTAAACCACAGCCCCCGCGATTCTCCTCGCAGGTGCCGTACTTCACTGAACATACTGGAGTAGTGCTCGCCAGCCAGACTTTCTCGACCAGCTCAACTCACGCGACTTACTATACTTGCCAGAATACATGTGCTTGAACCCACAACTAGCCAGATCAGCTTTTCCGCCATCATCAACCTCCAACACTGCCTCCCTAACCGGAAAACAGCTTCATCATATTGCTAGCTATAACAACATCACTATCATTCAGCTCGTCTCACTCCTCACAAAAGACTTCTGACCTCAGTCCACCCTAGGTGTCCCAGCCCGGAGTGAAAATCGACTTTCAATCCAAGTACTCCATGCATTATGATAGCTTGATACATGCCGTTTACTCTATAAGTAATGATAATTCAATAAATATCGATAACTTGATAAATTTCATTAACTTTTTTATATATTTATTTTATTTTTATAGCTCGATAACTATACGCAAAATTTGTTAACAAAGATTGTGTCTATAAACTCATAAAACATTGATCAATTTGGATAATTCGATACGTTACGATAACTCAATAAACATGGATACCTCGATGAATGTCGATAACTACAAACTTCGATGACTCGATAAATTTCGATAACTTGATAACTTTCGATAACTAAATTTTTTAAGACTGCATTGATTTCGATTCCTCGTTTGAAAAATTTCAATAAATTTTGACACCCTTTTAGTTACTCTAATTCTTATGTATCCTTTTCATTTAATTCTTCATCGTAAACTATAACCAAACTATGTGTTAAAATATAAAGATAATAGAAGTAAGGTTCGATAGTCTCCAATTTTACATGGGATCAGTCGAGCGCCTTTGTCTTGATCTGTAGGCTGTGTCGGAGCCACACAGTCAAGTTAAAAACGGTACATGAAATATTCGTTTTGATTGTATTGAATTGAATTTAATAATTATAAGCAATAGAGAAGCAGATCCACATTAATTTTAATCATATGTACCATCAGCTTATAAATAGATATATGCCATGACGTGTATCCCTACTACGATCCATTTTTATTTCCTTTCATACTGCAAAAATTTGTATTACTTTTTATATTAGCCTAGGCCCCGTATTAGTATTCTTCTTCGTGTTCGTGCTCGGCTTCGCAATACCGCCGTCTCCGGATCTGTGCATAAGTTAACTAAGATTTCTGGAACAGCTGTCAACCCTCCTAAATATTGTTAAGAATTAACAAAAAAACCCTCTGGCGTCTGAAATTGTGATACCTACATATTTCATGTGCCTGATGAATTAAGTTTTAATTTTTTTTTTTTTTTTTTTTTTTTTAATACGTGACAACGCTCCTATGCATACTTTAATTAAATTCTAATTTTGAAACAGGTGGCAACCCTATTTAAAATATTTTAAAAACAAAACCTTTTTTGAATGGCACACATATTTAAATTGTGTATATAATTTCATTAATTCAAGTTACATTTAATTTCTAAACCATATGGCAACCCTCTTAAATAAAGTTCAGGAAAAAGCATTATTAACCAATCTCAATTTATACCCATACTTTAATAAACCATTTGACTTGTTAAATAATTTGAATTTAACTTTTTACACAGGTGGAAACCCTCTTTAATGTTATAAATGCTCAAACTAGATATTTTTTAATATTCCTTTGTTTGACGCCCACATTAAGATATTTCATATAATTTAATTTAATTCGACTTTTCAAATAGCTGGCAATCCTGTTCAAATTATTTTTAAATCAAAACTTCGTTAAACCTTGTTCGCCTGACGCTTGTATTGTGATACATATTTAAATTATCTAATACTCTTAATTCAATTTGAATTTAATTATAAAATCAGGTGGCAACCCTACTACATGCAGTTTGGAAATAAAGTTTCTTTAAAGCAATTTTGATTTATATTTGTATTGAGGTAATTTTTTTACAACTACAACATTTGAGCATAGCCTCCAAAACGTCAAAAAAAATCTTTAAACGCTTTTATAAATGGGCTAAAAACTAGAAAATAATACATACATATACCTCGGCGTAGCCAGAATGAAATTTAGGGGGGGGGCTCGACCCTATTAAGCTGGCTTTTTTATATATATATAAGGAAAATTTGAAAGTTAGGGGGGAGCTCGAGCACCCCCCTGCCCCTACCTGATTTTGAAATTTTAGCAAAAGTCATTATAAAAAATTTATGAGATTGAACACGAAAAAGTGGAGCGCATGCAATACAAAGCATTAGATTTAGTTGACAATATTCAAACTACATAACACAGACCTAAAATTTCAACAGAGAAAGTACAAATTTGAGATCCACATACATACATACATATATTACTTTACATATCAATTCAGGCCTATTACATGCGCCTCACGCTTATCATTTTCAATCTCATAAATTGTTTATAATGACTTTTGCTAAAATTTCAAAATCAAAAGTTATTAAAGGAAATTCTATTAGACTGAGCAATTTTCTAATTTTTGACCATTTAAAAAATCGTTGTATATTAAAAAGTTTTTTTTTTTATTTTATGTATTTTCTACTCTTTAGTCTTGTCTGTATAAAATTTTGCAATAGATATTAAAATAATTCAACTTGCAGTGAAAAGACAACAGAAGACTATGCAAGCAAAATGTTGTTTGCTCAAGTTTAGTATGAACGTTCGTATGTATATTAGACTGCATCACCAAAAAAATTTGCGGTTTTTCCGCCGGGATTACAAAACCTATTATATTTTACGTTCACCAAAATAATGCGGAAAATAGTAGATTTAAGCGAGCTGGAGTGATTTGAAAATACCTCCAAACATACAGTTTTTTATGAATAAAAATAGTTTCTTAAAAAACTTTTTGAAAAAAGTCCCCCCCAAATGACAAAACATATCTGCATAAAAATATTTAAATATCTTTTCAACGGAGTCGTAATAACGAGATTTTTGATGCTGTTACTTTTTTCAAAGATTGGTTTATGAAAAACTTAAATAAATAGATAAAAAGGCTGAGAAAATACCTTTCCAATGATACCTAACAAGTCTAAATCGGAAGAGTTTAGGTTCAGTTATTCAAGTTTTTCTTATACCAATCTTTGAAAAAAGATAAAAAATAGCATTAAAAATTGTATTATTACGATTCCGTTCAAATATTTTTTTTTAATTTTTATTTTTTTTTTTAATATTTTAATGTAAATTTTTGTAAAGCTTAAACCGTTTTGTCATTTGAGGGGATTTTTTCAAAAAACATCTTTAAGAAACTATTTTTATTCATAAAAAACTCCATTTGTGGCGTTATTTTCAAATAGGTCCAGCTCGCTTAAATCTTAAAATTTTTCCGTAATATTTTGGAGAACGTTTTAAAATATAATAGGTTTTATAATTCCAATGGAAAAACATTACCGATTTTTTTTGTATGGGGAGCGATGCAGTCTAATGTATATATGTACAAGCATAAGAATTACCCAGCGATGAAAAATTTTCAATTGTTAGTTAGTATTTTTGCGGGATGTCGATAAATACCTCACTTTTAATTAGTCAAGCAGAGGTAATCGGTAGCTTGTTTTCTTAAAAATATAAAAATAATATATATAATATATAAAAATATACAGTTAATAGTTAGCACTAGTGTTAGGGTAAACAACTAGCTGAAGTTAGATATAACCTAACGTCACTCATATATATGTTCGTATGCAAGTATGTACGTACATACATACATATGTATGTATGTATGTATATGCATATGAAATTCTATCTTTGCATGCTTTGGGGTTATTAGCCTCCCTCTCAATAAAGTCGAAGTTTGACAGACCCGCATGCATTCTTTTCCTAGTATTTAACCATAAATGTATGTATGTATGTAGATTTATATGCGTATGTATGCACAAGTTCATGTATGTTTGTACTTACATATGTATGTACTGTGTGAGTGTATTGTGTATTCATTGGCTTAACTGCAAGTTCGTCTTCGAATGAACTGCATTAAATGCGATGACTGTGTTGACTTCTTCCGGCGCAAATTTGACACTGAGTAGGCAAATGGCTGAGTAAGTACACAAATACGCTCATACATTTATATACATATTTATATACATACATATATGTACATACGAATGGATATATGCTCAGCTATGCAGCTACTATATGTATGGATGTGTGTGTATATAAAGTATGTAAGCTCAAGCGAACACACGAGTCTCGTAGATGTGCATTTGACTTTTCCTCGAGTTTCAATTGCAACATTTCTTATTTAGAAGTGCATACAAAACCGCTGCATTGTTCGTATGCATTTGCCAAATGCTACCCGGTCAGCCAACCAGTCAGACAGACAACGAACGAGTCCCCCAGATAGTAGTCAGGCAGTGGATGGTGTGGCGACGGCGCAACGGGGGCGTACCAACTACAGCTACTACATACCTACGTACATATGTACATATGTAAGTACAAACATGCATAGCTTGCTTGTTCGCTAAAATGCCGCATATTACGTATAAATTTCGAATCAATACAAGCGAGCAATAGCAGCAACAACATCAGAAGCAACAGCAGTAAAAATACCAAGATGCAATAACAACATGCAATGAAAACAAATACAAAAACAGCAACAGCAACAGCAATAACAAAAAAAAAAACAGCCAACTTGGTCGACAACAACGGCAAAGAGGGGAAAAAGCAAAGCAATTCAGCTAAGGAATGCGGGGCCACATAAATGTCAGATAAAATGTTGATTGTTTTGTTTACAAAGATACTTTACGCTTCTGTTTACTGCTGACTGCCCGACAGTGCTATGGCATACGGCATATATGTATATGCACTTACATACATACACTTGTGAATAGACATTCAACAATAAACACATATCTACCCAGTACGAAATTAAACTAATTTAAATATTGATGTTGAGCCAGTTTTTTACCCACTTCTCCCTTGTTTATTTTAACCTTTCTATGTCCTAGGAAGCAGCCAGTTATCCGAATCTGCATTTGATTTCAACTACTTTAAAATGCATTTGGCATAAAGCACTTCAAAGTCAGTATGTTTCGTTTGAAGACGCTTTCGTTCTGCACTTCACAGATGCGTTTTCTTATTTCCAAGACAAAAAAAAATTGTATTATAATTTTCACATATTGCCTCCGTTGGGATTCGAACGCAGACCTTCTGGAAGCTAACAAGCTAACACGCTTAGCTACAGCCAGACATGTACATAAATGTTCTTTCAAATCTTCAGTTTGATTTGTGTGCTAGGAGCAAGTCGATTGTCCGACTCTGCATTTGATTTAAACTACCTTAAAATGCATTGGGCTTAAAGCCTGAGGTACTTGGTTGAGCTGATCCGTACTGGGTATACTATATATATATATATTTACAAACATACATAGGCATGAGCACTCACATACAAATATACATATATGCGTGGATGTATGTACGAACATTTGTCCATCAGTATGTATATATGTATGTATGTATGTTTATAAGTATGTGCCTTCATATGGGCTGACTCGCAGTACGAGTACATTGCAGCAGTTGAATGCGAGTTAAATAAGAATACTGCCTGATTAAGTCGACCAGTAAGAGGTGTATTAAATAAATGAGTACGCGCATACATACATACATCTACCCAGAGCTGCCAGTAGACATATCTATATACAAATAAGTGCTTACACATACATATACATACATACAAATACGACTAACAAAAACAAAACGATAATTATGAGAAAAAATAAAAAATGGAGTAAAAATATTTTGTACAGATACGCGTACTTTAACATACACCCATACATACCCGGTAGCAAAACGAACTGGTTCAGAACTAACGCTGACTAACGTTCAAATGAAAAAACTTCTCAGAAATGCGGCAACCGAACACTAAGGTTAAGTAAGAACTGTAAAATCTCACGAGTTGTTACATTATTCGACTAAAATGTCTTAGAAAATGCGTTATCTTCAGTTTTGTATAAAGAACAAGATTTCATCGCGAAATTTTATTTAAATTAAAACCTTAAAAATATGTACTAAAACAAGTAAAAAACTAAAGATAACCGACTCATGCTCATATACCCGTAGTTGCGTATGTAACGTATACGCCCCGTTGCACCATACGCAGTAATACGCACGTCTTAATTTAAAAGCCACATTATTTATAAGTGATTAAATATTGGCATTTAAGATTTTTTATGCACATATGTACATATATATTTCTTTCTTCATATACATATATAACAATTTTAGATTGAATTTCGAGTACACCAATAAAAATTGCAAAAATGGAACTTTAGTTTCTCAAATCATTGTTATCTTTTACTCAATGTATTTTTTTTTTCATTTGGCGTGACACTAGTCTTATTGCACTAGATTCGCTCGTTTTGGCAAGAAAAACATTTTCACCGCTTAATTTTAACATTTTGAAGTACAAAAATTAAATTGTTAAAATTTAAAAAAAAACGTAAAATTTCAAAAATTACAAATTAGCTGCGACAGATATTTTGCATGCTGCCATGCACTCTCGAATCTTCGCGAATATGTTGTATTAGATGCTAACGCCCCTTGCCTTTAATATGAACATTCTATTTGAAAAATTACCAAAGTTATAGAAAAAAACATTATGAATTCGGTACATGATTTATGAAACACTTAAAAGTAATTTCATCTTATTATTCAAATTTTAATTTTAACCAACAACAAATTTTATTTTTTCAAACTTTTTAAGACTTTATTTTTTAAATACATTTTTTCTTAATTTTCCGTTGTGATTTGATTTATCGCGTTTAGGTATCAAAATGTTCCTTACAATATTTTGGCTAATATGCTCAAAAAATGTTTGAGAAAACCATATGGCTCTTTAAATATAAAATATTTTAACATATGGCAACCAATATTTCTGTACTAAAATCACAAGTTTACAAAAAAAAAGTGTATGCATATTTACTAAACGAAACCTATACATCCCTATGTCAATCGACATGCGGAATGCGAATCCGAGCCTCCGTCACTTCAGGTTCATGGTCAGTTGATGGTTGACCATTTAAGGTCACCTAGAGGTCATGCCAAGGTTGAATTCAGAAGTGTTTAATTGAATTTTCATGTTTATTTTACTTGAACTCCATTGATTGAAAGAAATGTAAGATTAATGTTTAAGCTCGTAAGATTTGCTCATAATATGATTTGCTATATTATAGCACAACCCATATTGAGACCTAAATTGAATTTCTTGGTGCAAATGGCTGCAGAACCAATATTTGTGGTTCAATACTGGGTTTTCTTCCAAATCGCTCCTATAGGTATGGTTGTCTGAAAATAATTCCACAGAGCAAAAGACGATAGTGTTTAGTCTGAGGAACTAAAGTTTTAATGAAAATCTACCATAATTATGGAGTGTTCGAAGCGATTAGTCTTACTGTAATATAACTTGCCTGAAGGTTATCATATTTATATGAAAATCCAGAGGTAAAAAGTGAATCAAGATCTCTGAGGCATTCGCCAGCGTTGAGGGCACAGCCCCCACCATTTAAAATGTGGTTAGCTTATTCCTTATTGTATACTTGCCCAGGGACGGTCACTAGGCTGTGATGCTGTAAAAGATAACGGTACGTACTACCACTCTATACGTCTAGGGAGCAACTCAGCAAACACATTCGACACGGTTTCATGAGTTAGAATTTTGGAGATCTGAGAGTTTCGGTTCTTTGTATAAAGTCAGACATTTTTTATCATTTAACGGCTTTAGCACATATGTACGTTCATGCATATGTATTTCATTTTACATACTGTTACTCACGAAATTGATCGTGCCGCTTTTTTGTTAATACTCGCTAAGTTTTACTTGCTATTTTTTTTATGTTTGTATTAAAATATGGGTTATATTTTATCAAACCTCATTTAAATTCAATAATGAAACTCTGTACGAAAGTTAAGAAAAATCTGCAGTTTCAGCAAAATCGCAAACTTTTTAATACAAATTTGTTTAAAAAAAAATTCAGGTATGCAGTTCTGAAGTCCACTAAATTTTAGTATAATAATGTGCAAGTTTCAAATGTCTAAAAATTCGCGTTGATTTTTGATAATTTTTTTGCTGACTGTCCTACGCATTTTTTTCATATAAAGAAATTTCAGAAAATACTACTTTGTAGTAGTTAGTGCGGATACAATTACAAAAGGTAGAGTGCGAAACTAATGGTTTTTCAGAGTGTCTGTAAAATTTTCTGCCATGTACCTATACATTACCAGCTCTGCGGGCTAAAAAGCCTGTACATTTTTGTTGTTGTCGATTGGAATGTGGCCACATAAACGCACACACGTTTACACTTACAAAACAACGAGAACGTGAGTACAAAAACATTACAGCTATCTGCTTATATATATACATATGTATATGTATGTGTATCCATAAACCGGCGTAAACGACAGTAGCGACAGCAACAGTCATCGTCACTCGTAGTCAGTCAGTCGTTCATTCGCAGCGCACACCTGCGTCCTACGCCTTCACTACCGCCAACAAATCTACAGACAAACCAGCAAGTGAGTGTAGAAAATGCGATCCGTAGCAAGTTGTGGTCAGTGATCGGACTTTACCACATTGCGGTGGATCTGCCACTTTGTTGAGCATCTATCACATCGACCACACCAGGTCTGATATCTACCACATTTTCAAATTGTCCAACACTAAACATTAACAACAAAGCCGAATGCGAGCATAAAATAAACTGTAAAATAGTAAATTTTCTCAATAATTAATTTTTCCACAGGAAACCTGATTTTATTGTGTTAAATTGCAAAATATGTGATTTATAAAAAGAATTAATAGTGAAAATGTTAAAAACGGCGATTTTTGTGAAAGTATTGGCAAACTTCAGTGCTCTAAAGTTTCTAAGGCGTTGTTTACTTATTACTGGGGGTTTTGTAAAATCGGCAAATCCCAAGTAGCGGTTTCTGGGACGTGCCTCATTTGTTCGCTACATCGTGATGTGATAAAAACAAAAACTGGCAGCACTCCGCAAGGTTGCAGAAACCTCTCAAAATGTTCGAAAAATACCTTGCTATGGAAGGAACTACTTTACACAGTCAAGGAAAAAAATTGCCAAAATTAAACGCAATTTTTAGCAATTTCAGTCTTGCACTTTATTATACTAAAATAATTTTTTATTTTTAGATTCTAAAAAAAACGTTTGCAATTTAGGTGAAACCCTGCAGAATTTTTTAAATTTTTGTACAAAATTTGATCCAAAACCTGAGATCTATCACATATTTTTCCAGATTATACCACACACATTTATTTAGAGTCCGATCACTGGTGTTGGTACTCAGGCGAGAGTTACTTCTTCGTTTGTGACAAACATTCACATACACATAGATACTTTTGGGCAAGCGACATGCCCTTTAGGAAAATGGAATGGTTGAGAATTATATATCGTCGTTTAAAGTTCAAACATTTTCTGCCCAAAAATTAGATTTGCTCACACCAGCTCTTGGTGCAATCCTTATCCATTCGTCCTGAAATATACTAGCCAGAAATGCGATTGCTTTATAAAAAAGAGAACCATTTTGATATATGAGTGTTTTAACTCTCTAGAAAATAATTTGTGCAACCTCACATACGCGGTTTCAAATTCGAAACGAAAATTTATTTGTAATTTTTCTCAATGATGGTCACTTTAAATATTAAGTTATCTTACTCGAAAGATGAGGTCCTTTTACATAGAAATCATTTTCCGGGTTATAGAGCGTTTTACAGCGCGTGCGCGTCATCATAATATTGTTATAACTTTGGAACCACGAGTTGTCTCAATCTGAAACTTTCGCTAAAACTTCCTTAGATATCCATCTACATTACTTATCAGCGCAAATAAGAGAACTTTTGCATTTGAAAAAAAAAAAACAACAACTTAATTCTCATAAAAAAGTTTGAAAACCTTTTGATATCACTTCCATGGAGTCTGTGCGCTCAACCATTCATTTAAGTTTCTGCATTTATAGTTGATTACCAAAGTGCAGATGCCAAACAATGTTGTTATGAATATGACATTTTTTGTTGTATTTTGTATAACTGCCCCGCAATTAATTATGTGACCCTATTGAAGTGCCAACTTAAATAAATAACAAAAATACAACATGTCCACTATGCTCCTACGGGGAGCTCGAGCATTAATTCGTTCGTGCATAGACTTCGCCGGTCAGGCCAATAAATTGTATCTCATGGAAACGTTTTTGTTTTTTTTTTACATATAGCAACAACTTTTAAACTCGATCTCTATATGTCCCTCTACCTCTACCTCTACCTCTCTCCCTTTCGCTCTTTTCGCACGACTCGTATGCGATAGCAGCGCCACCAAGTGATCGCCAACTACACTAACATTGGAATGCAAAAATGAGTAAATAAATTGATTATTTTATCATCATTCAGCAGCTGAAGCGAACTAATTTCAGTACAAACTGTAAGCATTGGACTTTGTTTGTTAAAATAAAAAGTCATTGCTCGTATTGACGAAAGTCGGGAAACATACGTATGTATCTCCATTGGCAATAAATAAATTTGTTAGCAAATTGTTTAAATACCAACCAGCTTAGCAGTTGTGAAAATTTTTGCAAATCAACTTGTGAGGGGATACAAGTAGATATGTAGGCATATATATGTACATATATGCATACTTACAAACATAAAACTGTATGTAATTTGTTTGCCTGTTGAATACTTAAGGTTAAAAAATGCTGATGCATGCTCTTTTGCACTCAAACTATTTAATGCGTTTGGTGCATTTTCCGAACTTAAAGTTGTGTGTGTGAATTGAGAAAATAGCTAGCGACGTTGCCACATGATTTTTTTTAATAAGTAGGTACTTTTAAAATAACGTTTTTATTGCAGGGCACAAAAAAGGGGAAGCGAGTTCGTTTAATAGATTTTTTTAGAAAAATACAAAGTACATACTTATCAGCTCCTGGGTCTATACTATATGATGGAAAATTTTGACTTTTGTACATTGTCATCAGAAGTGAAGATTTATCTTCAAAATAAACACTTAAATGTAAATTTAAGTCTTAATTATATGGATATACATTTTTAGTAGACTTCTTACTCGCAATTTAATGCAGAATATGAATGTTCGCCTCAAATAACATTGTAAGCGACTATTGGTTCAAAGCTAGTTTCCTTGATTTTAAAGATATTAATGTGTATATTTTATTTTTTTTTAAAGGCAAGATTCTTGAAGAGTGCTATACCAAAAAAGTAGAAAACCAAATCCAATCCCCGATTGTGCGTCAGTAAACAAGTTTTTTTTTTATTTTATAAAATAATAATTTTGTCGCTTACAACGTTATTTGAGGCGACCGTTCATATGTTGAATTTTTTTAATTTTGTTATTTCATATTTTGTGTTCGCCATTTAATTTTTATGAAAGTACCAAACAGCATTCAAAACTATATGACATAAGCTTTCAATTCCACTATCGCACGATTTTTTAGGATCAGGTGAATCAAGGGAGAGCATGTGGTCTCCCGTTCACAAAGAATGCGTTAAGTACATATATTTATATTACGGACCGATAATAAACATCTTATACTAACTTTTTTATTTTTAGATAATTGCCAAATCGTTATTTAATGATTCTTGTTTTTCAATGACCGCATTTTTATGACCGTTTTAAATCTCCTATAATAGAAAAAATAAAAATCAAAAATAACAATTAAAAATAGATCGGAAAAATAAGAACCCAATTTTAACGGTTACATTGTGATTTTTATTATAAAGATCATAATTGTTATGGTCACTGATCATTCTCTATACCTACTTCTTCTTGCAAATTTTTACGATTGTTATGTTTCCATGACATTTTTAAAAAATACAGCTAAATCTAGGTAAATCATATCTGTTTACGATAAATTTAAATAATTGTTAATTTTCGTTTATTTTTTATACCTTACCTCCATTGCCTTCATTATTGAGAATACCTTAGCTTGGAATAACGAGGCATATTCCCGTAGGCAAAAGTGACTATTGTTCAACATATATGTAGGTATTCAAACGACTACTGTTATTTGTGGTTTGGAAGCTTATATTGCTTACTATCGCAGATGTGTAAACTTATGCGATTGGCAGACTAATTTGTAGGCATTGGAGGCTTTTGTTCAACTCGAGGCTTGCATAAAAGTTTCCTATCTAAATATGAACTTCAATTTGAAAGAAACCTGAAAAGTGAGTCCTCAAAAGTCCATGACTCACACGGTCGCCCAATCAAGCGAATCAAAACTACTTCTTATATTTTTAACTTTTATTTTTTTTGAGCAATGTTTACATTTATAAGTTAATAAAAGTTATTAAATTTTGTTTGTTCTCTCTTTACTTTTCTCAAACTGAGCATATCTGTAAACTTAAACCAAGCTGGCAACGCCAAATACAAACCACCAGCTCAAACATAGGCCGCTCTCTGCTCATGCTCATCAACTATTACATGAGAAATTGCCTCACCAACACACTCAAAACACGTTTAGCTCCAGCGAAACGCAACGAAATCCATTGCCTCCAAAGCAAATGGGCACGATCAATGTGATCATACCGTGTTCGTAGCTGGCAACATTAACGACTCGTTGTTCGAATTGCAGGTCGTTGCGGAAAGTGCTCGCGGACTTAGCAAAGAAACTAAAAAAATGCAAGATTTACTATTTTAACACCAACAAGTCGAAGGGAGATATTTATGTGAAAAGAAAGTGAATAAAAAATTTCAAATAGAGTTTGGTGTAGGTAGAAATCGAACCAACAAGTGATCTGCAAAGAAAAATAATGCAACAAACAAACACATTAAAAATATGTATGAAAAAGTCGCTATAAATTTCTTTTAAACCAAACTGTGTGGAAAATCTACATAATTTATATAGTGAGATTTAAATGAATATTGAATGAATAAAGCAAACATAAAATTTTCAAATATCTCACAAAGATTTACACAAAAAATCACAGCACATTTTGTATGTAAGAAATAAAATAAACGCGCGGCTGAAATCAAAATTCAACTGTTAAAGAAAAATACCAGAGCAACAGGAATTTGCCCTCAAACAAATATACAGCGCGTGAAAACGAACTAATCAGCGCATATACAAGTGAATGTACATTTTTAAAATGAAAAAATAATAAATAATTAATTTTTTATGGAATGGAATGCTGCAAAAGAGACAGCGCTAGCTGGCAAAGCTTGGGGGCCATGCGCGTAAATGAGACACCGACAAGTTGGAGCGCACGAATTCAATTTTGAAACGATCCAACAGCGGGCGAACATCGAACGCAGTGGGGGAGAAAGAAGCGGTGTGGTATTTTGTGAGAGACCCAGTGCTTGTGGAAGTGGTAGGTAAAGTGAGGCGCGCGGTAGAGTATCGACGAACAGTCAACGCGATCAACGACTACCATCACTGCTGAATGCCCGACGATTGTGTTGTGTTGTTGAGCAAGGCGAAATAAGCCGCAGAGACCGAAATCATCAACGTCGCTACGCCTCGCCGTTCCGCCCAGCCGCCCTCGCCTACATTTTGTAGATTTTATTGGCACCAAACAGTCGCAGTTAGCAGCAAGCCAGTTTGCTATTCAACTACTAGCCAGCCAAACAGTCAGTCAGTGAGCTACTACATACATACATATGTAGCTAGCTAACGCCCGCGAACGATCGAATTGATTGGAGCATAGTCGCGCGAACGCGCGTTTACTCTTATTAGTAGCGTTTGAAACGAGCGCGGCGTATCCAATGCATGGAATTTTTGTGTGCGCGACTCACGACGTACTAAAACAAATTGGATATCTAGTGTGTATAGAGTGTTTGCCTATGCACATATATACATACATACGTATATGTACATACATATAAATTTATTTAGACCGTGTATTTAACGGATGGTGTGGTACATTCGCAATTTGCATACATACATACATATATCAATTTTCACGTGTGTTGAGTGAACGAATTATATACACATACAAATGTACGTAACGTATATATAATTTTGATGTTTAACCCAAAAACGGTAATTTACTTCATTGAATTTCAACCATAAAAATCCACTTTTACAAAATTTGCAAATATTTTATAATCAACTGTGTTGAATTTCAATTAAAGTGGAAGTGTTTGTAAAGTGAAAACCATTGTGAAAAAAAACCGCACGTATGTTGTACATATCCAATCAATAGATATGCAACAGAAAATTTGTAATAATTAATTGAAAGTTTGCAAGTGGTATTCGTAAAGTGAAGCATTCAAATTACCCAAATCGCGCACCGCTACTGCCTCACTGTTCCACAGATTAACTTAATTGCCACGGCATTTGCCAAGCAACAGCAACCGCCAGCTCAAGCGAACTCAGCTCAGCACGCTGATTACAGCTTGCGAATCGGAATTACAGTAGCGCATCAACAACGCCCAGAAAAACAAGTGTTTCAACTCGTCGCGCCCCAACACGCCGCGCGCGGCACACATTTTTCATACATTTCACCAATTTAAGCGCGCCGCGGCGTCTCTATTGCCTAGCGCGCCACTCGTTTAATTGTGCATATGTATGTACATATGTACGTACGTATGTATGTAGTTAGTGTGTGTCGCTAACTAAATGATAAAAAGACAACCGCCGCAGAGCAAGTGCAACAACAACAAACAACAACAAATACAACAGTGAAATCAGTTAGCGCGTCGAATATGTATATTGCCGCCATCGCCATCGCTATAGCCATCGTCGTCGCCGCCTTGCTAGTTGCTGTCATCGTTTACACATACATTATTGTTGTAAGCTTGGTGCCCCCAAAACATGTGTATTTGGCCAAATAAAATTTGCTAGCAACAATAACACAACGAAAAGAAAAAAAAACCAACTAGCGCGCATAGTGACAATTTTAAACAGCGTCAGCAACAGAAATATCGCAACACATACGTACATACTACATACTTTCAACAGCAGCAACTTAACCGTGCAACTCTGCCGCCTTTACCGATTGTAATTGCAGTCAGTGAAATATTTTTGTTGTTGCTTTTTGCAAGCCATTTATGATTTTAAGCGCAACGTTTGCGTACACATTGTTGTTGCTGTTGCACATACTAATCGACGTTTATGTGTTAAGCGCGTACGCCACCACCACCACCACCTCTACAACTGTAGCCGCTGTAACCGTTTCAACAGCCGCCATCGCCGTTTTTCTTGGCAATCATAAAAATTTTCTCGTCGTCGACAACGTGCAGGAATTTCAATTTGAAATTATGCCAAAACTACAACAACAGCAACACTATCAGCCACAACAACAACAACAACAGCAGCAGCAGCAACACCATCACCATCACCACACATCCACACATCATGGCGAATATCCATTGCCAGATGGTTGGGACGTCGCCACCGATTTCGATGGGAAAACCTACTACATCGATCATAATACGAAGAAGACAACGTGGCTGGATCCGCGCGATCGGTATGTAGCCAAATTGACATAAAAATTAAATATGTATGTATAAGTGCTTATATGTACGTAGCTATGTGAGTCTGTGTATATGTATGTACATTAATCCACATGACGATACATACATACATATATGGAGCGACAAAAAGTGTTCCAGTCGATTTGGAGCACTTTACAATGAGATTTTTCAGAGATGTAAACATTTTTTTGCGTTAGGCACGCTGTAAAAATAACTAACGGCTATTTATTTTAACACCTCCATTTGGTTACAGGTCTTATTTGGCATACGCATCGTTGAACAGCATTCCGAGATCCCTTTGCTGAATGCCATTTAGATTATGATTAGATTCTAGGTGATAGTAGGTAGCGAATGCTGGACCCAGAAAATACTTTACGAGTGCAAATAATATGCTCTGCTATATATTCAGTGTTTCTCGTAACACAATCTGCACTGGTTATAGCAAAAAAAAAACTGCTTAAGTAAGATAAGGGGTGCTTCTGTTATCTTACGCTGAGAACACAGTCAGCTTAATATATTTCTCTCAACACAAGGTTTGGTAACTTTAACCAAATAATGTAACAATTAACGAATCATTTATCAAGATAAGCATATTTAGTTGATGTTCCTAAACTCTTTTCTCGGTATACTTAGCCGGTCTGGTAGACATGTTTGTTGTTAGCCCCACTTTCTGTATACAGCGACGAACAAAAGTATTGGCACAGTGCACTTTTCGCAATACATACATATAAGCAAAGTTTTTTATTCTAATTTATTTTTGATAACTTTTTATATAGTTCATTTTACACCAAAAAACTATATAAATAAAATCTCTATACTTTGTGCAAAACTCAGAAAAATTCATTAAATTTGCACACTAATTTGCATCTTTTTACTCAGATTTTTTAGAAAAATTCTAAGTATGCAGTTTTATAGTCCATTCAATTTTAGTATGGCAAAATGCAAGCTTAAAGTTGCGTTGATTTTTGGCATTTTTTTTTAGTGGAAGATGTTGCTCATTTTCTCCATACAAAAAATAATTCTCGAATATACTTTGTATGGAAGAACTTGCATAAAAAAAATACCAAAAATCTACGCGATTTTCTAGCGACTTTTCCTGAGTTTTGCACAAAGTTTAGAGATTTTATTATTATGTTTTCTGGTGTGTAATGAACAATATTTTTATAAAATAAAAAACTTTGCATATATTTCGAAAAATTCACTGTGCCAATACTTCTGTTCGGCACTGTAGCTGCATACTGTACTAAATAGACATAGGGCTGGTTTCTCCAACTCAACTTAACTTAGTTTAGCCACTTTTCGGACTTAAGTCAAAAGTTAGTCTACGTTTTACACAGCTTATTCTTGACTAAGTCAAGAAAATTGGCTTAACTAAGTTAAGTTGAGTTGGAGAAACCAGCCCATAATGCTGCAGGCTGCATCTTAGCCTAAAATACAGAGTTAACTTTCCTAATGTTAATGAAAAGAAGCCTTTTGGGCTGTGTAGCACAAATAAAATGTGGCCATCCTACCGGACAAAAAATTTATGAGAAGTAAATTGATTAGAAGATTATAGCGAAAATATTTTACTTCACTGAAACACTAATATTTAGTGAGTGTTCAAAATCAGTTGTATTAAGCTGAACGTTTTTTTTTGTGATAAAGTCTAATGTATGTACAAACTTATATACACGGTGGCGTAAAATCATGAATTTTTAAATTTATAGATATGTACAGAAGAAGAGTGCAAATTTAAATATCTCCATGCGCTAACAAAATATATTTATTTAGCACAGATTCATAGTTTTCAGAGATTATTTATTTTCATTTATTTATTAAGATTCGAAATGGTTTTTCTAAAAACTCATTAAAGCATTCGCTATGTTAGGGTGGTCCAAAATACATACGAGGGGGGGGGGGGGAATTATGGCGATTTTTTTCATAAATCAATTAATAGGATTACATGCGATTAATGCGACTATTTTTTTCCTCACGATTATATATGTATGTACATTAACTAAAAAACTACTGTTTTTTTTTTTTATGAAAGCTAATTCATTGCAAGAGACCCGTTTAGCCCAATTTTTGAATTTTTGTTTGTCTGTATTCAATTTTTCAGTGCAAAGTGCAGAAAAAGGTAGTGGTTTTGAAGAAAATCAATTCTCCTGTTCGAGTAAATAAATGTTAGATAATAAAATCTAGGTAACGATAATTGTACGTTTCTCTCAGCTCAGTTTAGCTTTCATTTAAGAATAATAATTAATCAAAATGAATGAATTGTGAACACAAAATGCCAATTTTTAACCACTGTGCGTCGCCGGTTACTTGCTACATCTTTGCGGAATCAGTGGAGACGGTTATTCCATCATTTTCCTCTGTTATTCCGTTCCGTACTATTCTTAACTAGTTGGTCAGAAACCTTACTAGAGTCTCAAACTAATACAATGAGTCAGTGCTGGCTTTTAAGCCATCCTTGATTTCATTAAGCCGACTCCTTTCTATTTACCCTATATAAATTTGTGCTCCAAAATTGGTTGGTTTCCAAACATTTGCTTGCCTTATTTTGAATGCGCTCGCATTGAGTAATTACGGTATTTTTTTGTCTTTAATCATAAGAAGTGATTTTATGCTCAGACGTAGCTTTCCTAATAAAATGTCTATCTGCACGCATAAAAATTGTTTGACTTGAAAAGGTCTTACCCATGTTCTCAGCAGTGTCGTACCCCTAAGCCTTCTTCGGATAGGGACACACCACTGGCTTTTCTATTAACAATCACAAATTGTAGAAGTAGACTTATTCACAAATTTTAGGCTTGAACCTTGCACATTATCAGACTAAAATTGAATAGGCTATAAAATTTTATACACCAAAAAAGTCGAACACTTCTGAGAAAAGTTTGAAATTGTTGGTCAAAAATTTGTTGCATTTTTGTAGATTTTACTAAGCTTTAAATTGTGTTTATATATACGCATGAGTTTTGTAAGAGAATGATCTGTATTTTACAGAAAATTCTTAAAAATAAGTAAATAAACACAAGTGGCAAACAAGATCATTTCGAAATGGCGTGCTTTAAATATGACCGATACTGTATGTATACACATGTGTATGCAACCATAAAAAAATGCCTACCCATTCGTAGCTAATTTTTTTAATCTTTCATTGTATGCAGCTCAAATTAAAAATTTCGTAAGCAAAAAAAATGCTTGAAATATTTAAACAAGAAATAGGAAGCAGCATTACTTCATAGGTATGTATTATTTCTGCTATTTACGCACCGAATGAGGAAAGAAATCGATTGAGTATGTGTGTACAATTTAAAAACTCACGTATAGCATAAACATTCGCAATTGTTTATAATTATCTTGGACATACAACACGCTTTCAAACATGTATGTGTGCATGTGCATATATACATATGTATATATGTATATATGTATGTAAGTATAAGCTACGCACAGGCGGACATATTGCATTCGCACTTATTGCATGACGCGCAGAGTAGGGGAGCAGCCGCAAGCAATTTATTGCAAAATGCGTGCGTGCGAATGCAAAATGCGTGGCTATTTATGTACGTACATATGTATGTATATGTGTGTATGCTGAAAAGGCACTACATGCTCCGCAATGCAAACTGTGAGCATTAAATTGAGAAAATACAAAAAATTAGAAATGAAAATATGCGTTTACAATTTTCTTAAAACTATGCCGCCTCTAGCCAATTGCTTGAATCGTGTGCCACAGTGCCCCCTGTTGCTGCTACACTAGGCACATTCATGCACTCATACATACAAGTAAGCGCTGCCATATTAAACGCCAGCAACAACAAGTGAATGCGCAAGCTGTAAGTTTGAGTTTTTCTCAATTTATTTTTATTTTATTTATTTTTTTGGGAATTTTTTCTCCTATTTGTTTTCTTTTTTTTCTTTAATTGAAATTTGCTGCTGTTGCCCTTTATACCTAGTACACATGTGTATTTGTGGTTGTTGCTAATGCTCGCGTGTATTTACTGCCTGCAAACAACTGTGCAAAATTACTTGTATGTACCTACAAGTTATTGTACATAGAGGCCTGTTGTTGTCGGTATTGTTGTAAATGTGTCCACACGAATCAACATTTGAGTTCAACTATACTTGGACGCTTAATCATCGCATTGGAATGTTTTGTTTAAACATACTTTTTTTTTGTTTAGTTTTCAAACTCAATTTTTTGTTTGTTTGTTTTAATTTCATTTCATTTTCATTTATTTCCAATACCCGCTGTGTACATTCACAGTCATACGGTTTTATGTATATATGTATATGTGCCTATAATAAAAACGCGTATATACAATGTGAGGGCATACAAATCGGTAAGCCAACCTATGCCTGTTTAGAAAAGTACGTACATTTCTAATTCTATAAATTAATATGAAAATTTGTAATACATATTGTACGTGCATGCATTCCATAACCAACACTCACTCACTTAATTGCAGCACGTATACTATACAGGTATACATATGTACATTAAGGTGGTCCAAAATAAGTAAACTCTGAATTTTAATGCTCTCACCCTCCAGGATTGTTCTATGCATGTATTTGGAAAAAATATAACCCTATTTTTTATTTTGAAATCAAAAATTATTTAGAGGGTGCTCAACGTTTTCCATGTTTTTTATATGGGGGAAAAAACAAGTTCTTTATAAATGGTATAAAATTCTTGAATATCAATATTTTTAGATTGGAAAACTTTGTTCCTCTTCAGAAGACTTGCAGTAAAAATACCCAATTGTTTATTTATCGAAAAATATGTATTTTCAAGAATTCTATATTATTTCTATGACAAGTTGTTTTCCCCCCTGTAAGAAATATGCAAAACTTTGAGCGCTTTTAGCGGGTTCTACATATATTTTTTTCAAATAAAAAAAAGGGGTATATTTTTGGAGCACACTATTTTACATATGTACATATGCATATCCTCTCCGTCGCGTCGCTCACGCTACTTGCTCGCCCGTTTGATCGCCAGAAAGCCCCC